CACATTAACCAAATATACATATTGGGATTAAAGGGTGGTGTGGCCGCATACCTTTTCTACCACATCGTCATTTTAATGTCACACTCATGTATTTTATCGCTGGTTTTTATCACACAGCGTGAGTATCAAGGTAGTCCCCAAAACAGATGCAAAATTGAGCAAAAACAAAGCACATTATCAAACAGGCCACAAGAGAATTGAAGGGGACTCGGGCAAGGCAAGAGAAGCAGAAGCTGCTCATTTTATGTTCGTGGAGTGGACACTACAGCAGGGAAAAGCTGTTGTTGTTGATTTTGACTGAACACATTGAAAAAAATTGCATAAGAAGGGTATATTGTTTCTAAGAGGCAAAAAAAAAGTTAACTCCGACCTTATGAATATATCCTTAGCCAGCTTCAAAAACAGAACCAATTTGGCTTAATTCGAACTACCGATAGCTTCCATTCTTTTCCTAAATATAATGTAATTTGAGCATAGCTAGAACAGGAAAATTGGGAAGTAAGTCTCATATGTACATCCAAGTCAAGTTTAATCATTTTGTATAACTATTCCCTCTGACTGAAAAATATTAATCCCTTTATAACATCTGTATTTTCTTATATTTATATTAACAAAAAAGTTATTTGAGAATATTTCATATTATTGGACTAAGAGAATAAAGAGCACAAATGCTGTAGAAAATGCTTTATACAAATCTGGTTAATAGGGTATCTGTAGTCGTGTCTCTTAACTTGAACATTTTCCATTTTTACTGCTTTGGCTTGGTTCTTGTTGTTTTTGGGGCGTGGTCTCTGTTGTTATGCAACGGCGTACAGCAAGGTGTTAAATTATATCATTAGGCTGGCTGTGCATAATTTAATTAAAATGGCCAAAGGCTCGTGTTCTTCTGTCTCTTGTTGTCATTGCTATTGTAGCTGTTATTGTTGTAGTTGTTGTTGTAGTTGTTGTTGTCGCTGTGTGTTGGCATTGATATTAAAATTTAATTAAAACGCTATCAAAAAGCAACAGTTTGTTGAGCCACCATGTCTGCCGCACTGTCTGGCAAAACTGTTAACGCCAAATTGATTGCCCAGCCACATGGCAATAACTTTAATACACAAACCACAACGCACACACACACACACACACACACACACACACGTACATTCATACCCACTTTTCGCCCATTTAATCAGATACTCAGAGTCAGTTGAAGTCCAACGAGTCGACAACGCGAGTGCGCAGTCATTTAACTTTGACATCCTTGGGTTTCATTAAATGTACATTCAAACACACACAAATGCGCAACTCACACACACACCCACACACATAATACACCCACACAACACACACCTACTCAATCCCACGCACATCCGCTTTTCTACTCGAAATGCAACATGGAGGAGTCCGAAGTCCGGAACAGTTTAATTAATGTCAAGCATTAAATGTGATTTTGCCAAGTACATGAGCTGCCAAGCCAGCTGAGCACAGCTTAGGTTACAGTTTTACAGTAATTACACTTTGAAAGGCTTGTTATTACGTTCAACTAAAACCGTAAACAGGCAACTAGTTACAGACTAGTCCCTCACCTAATCCCACAACTGTAATTTAGTATCGTCTTTATTTGATTGGCCGAATACATTTAAAAAGTTGTATTCGAGAAAAAAGTACTTTTAGCGACGAGAAAATGCAGCGAGTAAAAATCAATGAATTAAATTTTACAAGTAACACAATACACTTAAGTAGTTCACAAATACATTAAGAATAAAAGTTTCAGAATATATTCAATATATTATCAACCCAACGATTAGAAAATAGTGGGTAAAATACGACGAGTAAAATAAGCGAGTTAAATTCGAAAGAAAAACAATGCGTACAAATTAATTTAAAAGCACTAAAGCAAATGGTTTTATGTTATAGAAAACCATCAAAGACTTTTAGTAACGAGTGTGAAATAACGAGTAAAAACCGACGAGGACAGAGAAACTCTTTTAAAATTATGTATATTACTAAAGCTAACACGTACCTCCGACGAGTAGGAAGTAACGAGTAATGAAATTGTAAGCTACATACTTGCCAAATATATATACATAGTATTAACCTTTGAGAAATAATGTGTTGTATAAGCTTTGAATACGTCCATTTCATGATTTAATTAAAAAAGAACTGAGCCCAACTACTAATTGACCGCAATTGAATCGTTGAATATAATTAAAATAATCTTGCTTAGCCAAAGTACTTGGCTCTGTCTACACTAACTGCTGACACTCGCTGCCAAGTCAAAGTCAATTTACTTATATACAACTCTTCTGTTGTTTGCCAAGAAATCCAAGAAATATCGAAGCAGCTCAGGCAAAGCGACGAAGGCCCAGAAGAAGATCACACGCAACATTTTAAACATTTTCATTTAAAATAACTTTTAGCCTTAATTTGTGCAATTCATCAGCAAAAGAAAGCAAAATAAGGCCAAAACAGCGCGTTGAGACTCTGGCCGGCCGGCCAACTTAAGAGCCAGAGGAAGAATGGCCTAAGAACTTCCGTTTCCACTGGCAAACGATCAACGAAATAATGACAGCAAAAAATGCGAGAATGAGGCAACTGGAATGCAGCCAATGTATGGGAGGGAGCCGCATGCAATTGCAAACAATTAACAAATATGTTCTGACCATGGCCAGAAACACGCACGACTGCTGCGTCTGCCTCTGGCTGGGGATTGGCATCGGAATTGCAATTGGCCGACTGCCTGCTCGCCTGGCTGTTTTGTCTGTCTGTTAATTTGTCCGTCTGTCCGGCTGTCTCATCAAATGAAAATTGCTGCCAATGCCTGTGCCTGTGCTTGAGTCTTAGCCTGAGCCTGCAACGATCAACCATTGGCAACCGAATCCATTGGCAACGTCTTCTGCTCAATTGCCAACTCATTCATCATTTTTAATTATGACAATTGCCTGCTTCTGGTCGGAGCCCTAAGCCTGGGAAATGCGCGGCGGAAAAGAAAAGCTTGAGAAAATCATGCAGCTCACGTGCCTATTAGCTGTTAATGGCATTTGCCCACAGTTGAGTGGGGCCTTAGGGCCGATGGATTTTTATGGCAGTTGTTGCCGAATTGGGAACCTGGATTTATTGCCTGCCCAACAGGTTGTTTGACGCCCAATAACATTTAATGCTCTCAGCTGCCTTAATTAAGTTGCCAGCTATTGGCTCGAAACGAATTCTTTTTCTTGCCACTTGCTGAAATCGAAATCTAACAGATGTGCCCACAATTTATTTTCACTTGTATTTCTGTTAAAGTTCTCCAAAGGCTCTGTTCCCAGTTTCCTAAAATACATCCATGCATTTTTTCAACTGGCATACTTTTCTTCAATTCAACAAATTACAAACATTTTTACGTAAATAGCTGCCAAGTGTTCATTAAATACCTATCCTTCATCCTTACCCTGTCATAGATCTGTCAAAAATAAAGCGGTTTTTTATATTTCTGACATTTCTGACATTGGAAGAACTTTCAAGTAAAATATTTAATTATATATCCTCTGGTTAGCTGCAACCCTTAATTTTCGCCTCCCAACTATTAGCTGTTCGTCAAATTTAAACCAGCGCTCGCTTTCGAAAGACAGACAGACAGACAGACAGACTCAGCTAATCTCTTAATCAGGCAAAAGTAATAGCTCATAACTGGGCGCAGTGGAGCCTCATTAAATAATAATGAGTATTCTTATCATTAGCAAACCGAAACTAGGGTATATATACATAAATATGTTTATAAATATATTTGTGCTACCAATTACATAAATATGCCACGCGGTGAGCGGCAGGAAAGCTAATTAAATCAAAACGCATATAAATTAATAATTATAATTATAATTATGATTGTTTAAAGTGGAAGCGCAGCGGAAGGCAAAGCAAAATGAATACTAAATGGCATTTAAATGTGAATTTAATTGATGTACAATAATCGTACTATGCAAATAATTACCCCTATTTTGCATAATATCGCATTTTCTGCTCTCTTGTCCAATCTTATTCACATGACAGCTGGCGAGCGCGGCGTATGCGTAATATTTATGTTCCTTTTGCTGTTCGCTGTTCCGTCGGAATTTAATGTCCAACACGTGCTTCTCGCAAATAATTACTTCGACATTACTTAAATTTTCAACGCACTGTCCTTAGCATTGTCCTGTGCGGCTTTGAGGTGTGGCACTGGCCTAGGGGCCAGTTGGGGCTTGTCGCTATCGCTGACCCATTCTGCCGGCCTGGACAAGCGTGCAGGCCCAGACTCGAGGCACGTATGCAAACATGCCAGCAGGCCATCTGCCAGGGCCGAGACAAAGCCAGTGATGAGATCACACTGTGATTTTTTAAAACTGCGACTCTTACTGTCACGGTAGCTATAATAAGATTGATTAACTGTGATTGAGCTACGGCAAAACTAAGAATTGAAAATGACAATTGACAAGCGTGTAATAAAGTTGTCTTCATTAAGTTAAGGTGTTTCCCAAAGCAACGTGCTGCATTCCACGTCCCGCTCAACCGACCGAGGAGCCATGACAATGTCGATCTAGCCATGACCATATACATTTGTGTGTCCCGCTCAGGGGCTTTAAGAGGTAGATATATACTTTCGCTGTGGAAACTCTCTTAATTAAATTAGAGCTTTACTAATAATGCCCTAAATGTTGGAATATATACGCTACACAATGCCATCCTTGAGTAATCCAAAGTCATTTAAGAATTTATTTTTGGGAATTTAGTCGGGTATGTTATTTCGCAATATTTACTGGTTGCCCGTAGGCAGTTGCCCCTGACTGAAGCGCTCATAACGAAAGACATATTGATTTGCTTCAATCACATGAAAATCTTCGCTGCACATCAATCAATTACTAGTTTAACACTTGCCCAACACTGAACCCAGTGCAGCACAACTCTGAAGCGTAATTCACAGTGCCTGCCATAATTGAATGCCCCTCGAAATATTTTCGACCAATAACACGTTTTCTGTTTTTTTTTTTATGCATTTCAGCTCGACACTCGACAACCGGTGCACATCAATCAAGCTGTAGACGTGGGCGCGCATGCTGGCCGTCTAGCGGATCGCCCCCACAACCCCTTGCCCCTAGTCCCAGCCAAATGTATGCCGGTCGCGCCACGCAATTCGCCAAAACCATCAGCAGCATGGCCTGCAGCATACAGAAGCAGCCCTCGCAGCCAGCACCGCCGGCTACCATGACCATGGCGACAACTGGCGTAGGCATGGCTGGAGTCTCTGGAGGCGGCGGTGCCAGTGGTGCCGGCACTGTGCCCTCTACGCCCAAATCTAACAAGGCAGCCGCACAGCCGCGCGGCTCGCTGCCAACGGATGTGCATCAGCCGCCGCTGGAATTCCAATGGCCGCCGCCGCTGCCTGTGTCCAGTCACACCAGCAACTTGCGCTTGAACATGATGAACCAGGATCCCAAGGATCTGCACACGGCACGCGCCATAATTGAAGAGCTGCGCTCCAAGGTGCGCTTCCAGACGGAGCACATTATGAAGTGGCGCAAGGCCTACGCCATGCAGGTGAGTCGCACTGAGACTATATCGATTGGGGCCAAGTCAGCTTAAATATTCCGCCGTCCGTCCGTCTGAACTCATTTTACTTGCAATCAACACAGCTTAGAATGCTTTGGACATACCCACCAAGGTGCTAAAGCCCTTAATTGGCTACTCCATATTCTGTATTTTCTCCAGGCACAGTTTGACAGTAACTGCCTTTGGGATTATGGTATAAGAGTCACCAAGCTGTTAATATAAGTAGAGTCTCTTCCCAAAAAAATGTTGAGAAACATTTTTATTCAAAATTATATGATTGTTTTCATCGCATTCCAAATTTTTACATATTCGTATGTATTATGAATGAATAAATGTTTTCATAGTATTCCAAATTTGTACATATTCGTATGTATTATAAATAAATGATTTCATAGTATTCCAAAATTTTACATATTCGTATGTATTATAAATTAATTATATAAAATTAACATTGAAAACTATTCCAATTTGGCTTAAAAAATCGCGATTTGTAGATTATATAAGGTGTTCATAGATTTTGGACAATGCAGTTTTTTTTGTTTTTATATTAATTTGAGGGACTTTTTGGTTCGAGCAAGTTGGCGACAGGAAAGGACCTCTAAAAATATGACTCAACTAAGGAGGAAGATGTACGCCCCAGGGAGCTGTTCGTTAGCAGATCTTTCACTGTATATCCACATCTCTCATTGCATTAGGTACAGCAACATTATCGCTATCAGAAGGAGAAATCGGATCAGATGAACTCGCTGACATCGCAGCTGCTGCTGCTGGAGTCGCGGCTGAAACGCAAGCAGAAGCAGATCGCGAGCCTGTTGAGCCATCGCGAGCTGACCATACAGCGACAGCAGAAGATTATTGATACGCTGTCGACGCGTTTGGTGGATCATGGACTGGAGAGCATTGAGGCGAGCTACGCCAATGAGCTGGACTCTCTGAACGACTCCGACTCGGCGGTGGTGCTGGAGGACATTGACTCGGACAGCAACATGACGCTGGGCACGCGCCGCAGGAGCAGTGGTGGCGGCGGGTTGGGCGGTGTTCTGGGCAGCGATGGCATCACCATTGTGCGCTCCATATCGGATGCCATTGAGACGAATCTGAATAAGTATGGCGCCGCCAGGCGCAACAATTGCTATCTGCGTCGACCGGAAATACTGGAGACTGTGTACTCCGTGGAGGAGGATCCGGAGCCCACCACAGATGTGGCCGAGAAGCGGGACAAGTTCAAGAATCGATCGGACAAGGCGCTCAGCTCTAGCTCCACCGAGGGACAAATTGATGCAACGGCGCCCGCCTCATCGGGCACGCCCAGTGCGCCGGAGAAAGCCAAAGACACGTGTATGGCAACGGCCATGGCCGTGCCGCGTCGCCAGTTGGGCGCACTGAAACGCTCGCCCAGCCACGACGCGCCATGCACCACGCTGAGCGTGAAGGTGCCCCAGCTGCAGCCGCCCCCATCCGCGGATCAGCACAACGGCAAATCACAGGTGACCACCTATAATCGGGTCATGTCCAATCATCGTTCCGTGACCAAGCCGAAGGATGTCAAGTACAAGCGCATCAACAAGGCCAAGTCCAAGAGTCTCGAGGAGCTGCGTGGCCGGCTCAAGAATCTGGTGGAGCGACCTGGTCTCGATGCCGGATACACAGCCGGCATGATGCCGCAGACGGCCCAATCGTATGCGTGACACACGCCGCCGCCAGGCGACGCCGAGCAGCTCGCCGAGATGCCGCCCACGCCGCCAGAGGAAACCGCAGCTCCAGCCGCCAAGGCAAGTTTGTCCGCCGGACACACGCCCGACCAGGCGACGCCGCAGCGGCACAGCTGTCCCAAGCGTTCGTTGACGCTGCCTCGCATCCTTGTGCCGCAGTCGATGCAAGGTGCATCGCATTCCGGCAGTGGAAGCGGTGGCGGAGGCGGTGGCGGAGGTGGGGGCGGGGGAGGCACTGGGCGTGGCGGTTTCTAGCAATTAAAGAAATTTTTCATACGCAATTGTGATAAAAAGTAGAATTGTTCTCTTGCATCTCTCTCGCTCACTCGCTCTCTCGCTCTTACTTACACTGGTGCACTCAGAGAAAAACTACAGAATCTTTGTCTTAAGAACTTATTTTTAATCCCAAAAGCAGTACATTATCAAGAGCATTGTATGCTTCCATCCAGAAAGTTTTTAAACAAACAAAAATCACATGAAATATCAAGCACAAAACGGTAAGAACTCTATTCCGCTTATTCTTGAGTTTACCACAATGTTTTTCTCTGAGTGTAGTCTCTTTTGTAACATTTGTTTCCTTCGCTGTTTGTCTGAGCCCAGACACGGCATTCAATTTAATTTAGTTCTATGTTAACGTTTATGTTAAAGTGACTCTTATACTATATAATTTCACATGAATAAATACATTACAAAGCATACACAATTTCACTGTTTATTATTTATTTATGACACTTGCTCCACAAAAAGCGTATGAGAAATTTCCACTTAATATGATAAAAATGTAGTTGAACTACAAATCGAAAAAGGGTCTGTGACACGTTTGCGTTTTTTCGAGGACAATATGAGAAGCCGACAAGTTGAAAGTGAGTGTATTCGGAGGTGGGTATTCAAACATACTTAAGCATAATGAAAGGTATCTGGGTGAAATAATTAAGTAGGCTAGAAAATTTACATATATTTAATATGGCTTCACTTGTACATAAATTGGCCACAGCCAGCCGTTGCTGTCATAATTTCTTCAAAAAAAAAAAATACATATTGGATAAAATAATTTTCAATGTATTTAGTTTATATAATGAAACCAAGAATCGCAGGCCATCTTCGGGCTGCCGAAGATGAAATACCCTTGCAAAAGTATTAATATTTTGTGTTTTTATATAAGCACGCAATAGCTATACAATATATTAGTCCGATGTTGATAATTTAATCCAGCAAAGATAAGTCTGTTTTGCAATATTAATTAAATTCCATAGATAACCTTTCTACAACAACAAAAATGGGCAGATCTATAGCTAGTTTTTATAGAAACAGGGAAATCCTTTAACTTAATAAAGAGAGAACTCTTCTCTAATGCGTCGCAATTTATGTGATAAATTTCCAAAATCCTCTGCAAGGGTAAATAGGCAAAACTTTTGTATAAAGAGTATCTAAATTTGATTTAAAATTGCTTAATTTCTTTTATTAAACTTTCTTTAATGCTCCTTTTCCATTGGCATAGCGAAAAAATTTACTTTTACTTAAGTAAACTCTTAGTTTTAAGCTCTACTCCATGGACTGTCTTCTAGATAACAGAATTTAAGTGCAAGAAAGCTGTACGTGTAACTAACTGAATAAAATATATATATGGAACATATATTTTCTTACTTCAAATTGCAGCTAACAATTTTTACAAATTTAAGAAGTTTAAATTAGTTTTTAAAAAAATGTTAACTCATCTAAATAATAATATATATTATTAATTAGCTTAAGAAAAACTAATTAGATATCGAGAAGTTTATTTTTGCGTTGAATTTTTCAAATTGTTTTAAAAAATTGTTAATAACTTTGAAGCCGTGTGCTTTATAAAGTTAAAACGTCATGTGTACCTTGCAGCGATTAAGCATATTCAAGAATATATAACTATATATACTTTATGTGTATGTGTTAGGCATTATATGTAAGTCAGATATATTATACGAACATAGATATATATAAATATATATAAGAGCCTTTAATATCCATAAACACGGCTGCAACAAATCTCAACTAAAAACAACTCAAAGTACAATGCTCAAGCGGCGTCAATATCTAAGTATTTCTATATAGACCGATATATGCATATATATATATATCGTATGTTATCCCAGTTTCAAACGAAAAAAAAGTACCTAAAACATTGTTATTGATGTTGTACCTAAGATAAACTGTTTCACATTTTGAAAGGGTTTTATGCAATCAATTGAACTACTCGTACAATATGCAACATCTTAAATACGTAATCTCAATGTCAGTTGAATTCGATTTAAGCAATCAACTCAATTCCCCGGTCAATTTAGCACTCGAATTCAAATTGTTTGTCAGTTTGTCAAGACGAGTACAAAAGCATTTTGAATGTACTCAATGTACTCAGATGCGTAAAGCGTATTATTCTGAATATAAGCTAAGTGTTTACAATTACTGCAAATCAATGGTTAAACAAAAATATTGTAGTGGAATATATGTATTTATATAGCTTTAAGATTCGCGTAGGTTAAATACTTTAAATTATATCAGTTAAAATATATGTATGTGTATGTATATTTATATGCCAAAGCATTCAGACCTTAGTATGGAGAACTCTAAATAAGATTTAAATATGAAATTTTTATGGGACGCTTGTTATATCATTACAACTTCTATAATTTTTCGCATTGCTGAATATGTAGCTTTTATTATTCTAACTAGTTTTTTATTATTCTCTGCAAAAGTTTGCAGTTTCTGCATTTTTTGTTTGGGATTAATAATAGAATAAGAGCTGTTCGTACAAAATATTCTCCACTTCTGTGCTAACTGATGAATAGATTGTTAAATAAAAATGTAACTTAAATAAACCTAAAGTAATAATCGAAATAAGCAAGCCATTTGGTACACAATTTATTCATTAACTTATATATTATAGTTAATAAGTGTATATAACGTAAAAACCATACGTATATAAGCATATAAATATATATACAACAGAGCTGCACTAATTTCTTTTTCTAGTTAGCTTTATTAACTAATTACCTATTTATGATAAGTATAACCCAAATTTATAGCAAATACTTTTGAAATTTTGCTCATTTTACAAATTTGAATTATTATGTAAAATATTCTTTTTATTACTGGCTTGGCTGAAGTGCTTAATAAAAGCTAAACTTAACTAACACACTCACACTATATGAGTTATTTGTAATAATTGATGGGAAAGAGAAGCTGTTTTCGCTGTGCCGCAGATTAAATACCCTTACATCAGCTCTGCGATATTTATATTTCTATTGGGGCTATATTTTATATTAATTTAATGCTAATAATAATTTTGCTGGTCAATTCCGATACAACTGAAACAAAAAGACGAATCACAAATATATATACTTTATGAAGTCTTCTTAAGGGGATACGCATTTCGTTACAAAGTAGATATACCTACTGTAAGGGTATAGAGACTGACACTGACTAGGCTTACTTCCCAGCTCCCCAGTTTCTCAGTGTCAAGCTTAAGGCAAACATGAACGGCAGCATCTCAATCTCTCAGTGGCTGGCTCTGCTTATCTGCGTTGGCCTTATCAGTCTGGTAAGTCGAGTCACATTCCAAGTGTTACCTAACTAATAAAACATTTCATTTTATTCAGAGCACAGGCGATGCGAGTGCGGCTAGCACAGTTTCCTTGACCGTGAAAGAGATTGAACGGCTCTACAATGAGGTGTTGCAGACCAGCTTGGCTGACGCCCGGGCAAGACTGAGCCATTTAAACGATAGCAATGCCATTGATAGGCAATATTTTGATGAGCTCGACAAGATTGTGGACACTGAGAGTTACTATAGCAGCGCATACTTTATATTTGCCCTGATCAATAGCTCCCTGTTCGAACGAGCACAGCCAGACCAGCTGTTGCTGCAGGTGCTGCCGGGCGAGAAGATCTGTATACGAAACTTTTTCGTCAAAGTTCGGTTGGAATTGCTGAAATACTTTGCAACCAGTGAACAGACCAAAGTCGAACTAATACGAAATGTATCGCGCTGGCAACAGGAAACTGGAAATAGTATCGTGCTGGCCTTCTTAGAGTTTCCACAGAAACTGCAACATCAGGTGCCAGAGCTACAATTGATGGACTATATGCGGCAGGCAAGGGGCTTAGTAGAGGGCATTACACAAGCATTACAAGCAACTTTACCATAATAATCAAAGAATATGCGTAGAAAATGTTTTTTTTTTGTATAATTTTTAACTACCTACAAAGTTTCTATTCTATATCACAAAGTATATATATTCCTGATCAACAGCCGAGTTGATTTGAAGAACATACTTGAAGTTTTTTTTTTGCTGTAGCTGAAGTCGGAGTTGGACAGATTGGATCTCTATATCATACAACTCCCATTGGCACAATCGGTGTAATGTAAAAATCTTGTAGATTAAAAAAATATCGTGTTAAATGCGATTTTCATTATGTTCCTAGCATATTACCAACATATTATCAGACACCGATTACAATATAATTTTGATTATACTCAAAGTCTCGCTCATTATGATAAGCAGGATAGATCGCAAATAAAATAATAATTTAAATATATATTTATATATATTGCTTCTATAAAAACAATCTGCCGGAAATCAAATTTATGTATAAAAGCATAAACGACATGCTGTAAAATCATCATATAAACATCATATAGAAAAGTATTTATAAAGTTTCTAATTTACTGTTTTATTTCCCAGTCCCTCAGCAGGTAGCTATTATATTTAAGTATAGCCCTGATCGTGTGAACCTTGTTGTCTATTATAGTAAGATTTTATTACTTAACTATAGCTAGATACATTATATATATATATATATATATATATATATAATATATGTTTGAGTCCCAGCTCTATTGGTTGACTAACTTATAGACCTCTGTATTTACCAGCCTCAGCATGCTGTCGTATTGCTGCAGCACTTGCCTTACCGCCCGCAATGTGGGCGTCAATAGCTCCTCGTCGCTTATCTTGCCAACGTAGTTAATCTCTAGGGTATCCAGTTGAGCGCGCAGATCGCTGTAGCCGCGTCTCAGGGATCGCAGATGACGCTGCACCAGCCGCTGGCCGCAGCGACTGCCGCGTAGGCGGCACTGTTCCACGAATGCCATAAATTTCAGACCCAGTTGTTCCAGGGACTGGGCCCACAAGAGAATATCCTCATTAAATTGCTTCGCTTTGAGCTGCTGCTCATCCTGCTGTTGCTGTCTCAGTAGCTTACGCAACTCCTGAAAGCTCTCCCGAGCAGGTAGCGCAACTGACATCTATTATAATTACTGAGAAATTGGTATTTATTATATTTAAAAAGCGTGTCATAGAACATACGCCCAGCAGCAGGAAAACTATGATGAACGATCGAGCATTCAACATTTTACTAACTAAACGTTCTTATCACGGCAAGCGAATTGAATAAACTGATTATAGAGTGCCAGGTCCCAGCGATCCCACGATTAATAGCCCGAACCGCACATTGTTAGCGCCTATAAGAGGCAAGTGCAGCAGGAACAGAACAACACAGTATTCTAAAGCTGCAATCATGTGGCGTCTTGTGCTTCTCCTTTCAGTCCTGCAGTCAGCGGTAAGCTAAGTGGATAACGTTCTAAAATAAAAAGCATCGACAATTCAAAACATAACTATGGAACACATTCCATTGCCAATTAAAAAATAATTATTGAAATTTGTTACTAATATAATATTATAAGACCAACCAAATGACTAATGGGAATATTACTTACCTGCTCAAAATCAGATAACATAAAATTAAATTAAGCATTGATATATAAACGATTAACAAACTTTTCGACAATCAGAAATTGTTGGGGTAACCCCTATTGAAAATTATTTATTTGTGCTTACAAAATTTAAGCACACATCATCGCACGGGACACAAAGCCTCATCTTCACGACAAAATCAACAAGTTGTGGTGCTATTTAAAGAAACGACTTAGCTTTTGTGTAAACAACATTTCAAATGGCAAAACAAAACAAAAATAGTGGGCTTCCCGTCCGTATTACCAATTTACGCTTAATGTTTGTCAGAAACTGAAAACCCAAACAATTGAATTGCGCATGTAGACTTGCTCTGCCCCACCTTCTCAAAGTATCTCTTTTCGGTAAAAATTAAATATTTCAATAATTCTTACATAGTACACCAGTCCAATCACGCCCTGCGAGAAGCTCGGAACCGTTTTGGCTTTGGAGATCACTTCATTTACCAAGAAGACACTAAACGAGGGCGCTGAGTTGCTGCAGCGTGTTATCGATAATGCGGAGCTGTTGGAATTAAGTGATATCGATCGAATTACGTTGGAACAGTTTGCAGAATTTATAGATGGCACAAGGCATGCTGTTGATTCTGGAGAATTGGAGGATTTGCTAGAAGAGCTAGTGGAGCTTCTCGATCTGGATGATGTTAGCCTGGAACAGGATGATAGTGAGGTTCTTGTTGTCAAGCTATTGCGTCAATATGGCTTCGACACGTTCGAGAGAAATCTGGAGAAGCAATTACGAACCTTTATGGAACGAACTGAATACCATGTCGAGGCCTATCTAAAAAGGCAGAACGCCAAGGACTCGGAGATGCCAACATGGTTTACTGAATTCCATGCCGAAAAAGATATTGAGCGCAAATTTTTAATGTTTCCGGAGGTTTTCGAAAATATAGATTGTTAGGCTAGCTTTATGTCTTAAGTGTATCTGTGTAGTTTGCACACACACAAGTATTTAATATTTTATTTTAATGGTTATTAAATGGTCTCAATTTTGTTCTTGAATGTTTTTCAATTATGTATGAATTTTTGAAATTAAATTAAGTACACAATACTTTAACAAGAAAAGTACTAAATTATTAGATTAATTCATGTATTGTAGTCTTCTTTTCCGGAGTTTGTTCATCAAATAAAAAGTCTTAAAATAAAGATTTCATTTCCCGGCCATAGCCGGATTTTGTCAACGTATAATTGATTTAAAACCAAAATGTTTTTGTTCTTGCCTGCAGTAAAATAAGTATTCTAAGTACTTAAATCAAAACATATATATTATTATTTCCGTTTAATTTGCGATTATTTATTTATGGATTTTGACCTTGTTGTTGTATTAAAAAATGCGGATATGATTTCTAATTCCTATCAGCTAGGCTATCAATCTATATATAATCTGCGACTTATTTTAACACTGAGTATTTCAAGAATTTTAAAAATGTTGGAAAATTGAGTGCGTGGAAACTCTATTTTTTAAAATTCCGACTAGTTATGCCATGTCCCAAGCGAGAGTCGTACACACTTTGCTGAACTTGCGGTGGCCCCATGCCATCTGAATTAAAGCTATACGATTCCGAGCGATAAAAATTATTGGAAGAGCCACCACCGAAGCCAGGGCCACCGAAGCCAGGGCCACCGAAGGAAGAGAATCCGGTATTCGTTGGTATGAACGGAGCACTCTATTTAAAAATTATATTGTATTTATATTGGCACCGATTAACATAAGGATTTAAGATACATACCGATTGAATGCTCAGAGGCATTGAACTAAAGCGTGGTCCACTGTCACCAAAACCAGGAGGACCAAAACCAGAAGAACCACTGATACGACGGCCACCGACAAATGGTCCAACGTTCGTGTTAAATGAAGTGTCTAAGTTTGTCTGTAAAAATGAGATATATATATTAGTTAGATAATATTGCTCATCTCAGTAGGTCTATCCCATAGTCTATATGTGCAAATAAGGTTTCTCTATATAACTCACAGGTCAAGATCATATTTAACTATTTATATATATACACGTTAAAATTAAAAAAAAAAAAAAAAGTAAATTCGATAGTCTATAACGATCGGATAACTGAAGTTATTAATGAATAGATTTTCAATAGTTTTAGTCGAACAATTTCAACTATGTTACTTTTGTTATAGTTACAGACAACATACCGAGCGGAATTGACTGGAAGGGATAGGAATGCGATAATTGAAACGACTTGGATCGGGAAACCTCGGTTCGTCTGCGTCGTCGTCTTCTTCCTGGGATGTGGGATCCGTCAAGACTCGCGCCTTTGCCTTTGTGTGCTGTAAAGACGAAGCATGTAAGTGGTATATACATATAAGCATATACATTATCAATACGATAGGTTGTTATATATAATAGAACACACCACTGAGAAACTATCCTCAAAGTTTGTACGCTGGGGTACTGTTGTTGCATTCTGATCAGTATTTGCGGAGCTCTCTAGGGGCTTAAACTGATCCGATGGAATATTGCGTGTATCTCTTTTAATGCGTGCCTAATGAACAAAGAATCATAGCGAACTTATAGAAAATATTATCAATTAGCATAGCGAAATGCTTACCCGCTCCACTGAAGCACTTTGGCAGAACTGCAAAGAATTCGGATATAATTATAAACAGTCATAAATAGTACTGCCGCAGGTAACTTACCGCCAGGCCAATTAGCAGGCAGCCGATGAGGCTGATCACATGAAGCAACTGAAGCGCCATTTCCGAAACGTCTCGATCTCTGAGCAGCTGGCAGCAATATGACCAGAGCGTTTAGGAGGCAGCTCCAGCTTCTATCGAAATGACTAACGACTAACACGTTTGACGGGAATCGCACGAGGTGTGAGAATCGGTGCTCGGGGTTATCGTCATTGCAGGCGGGCAAAACCACGACTTGTAATGAATGTTTTTTAAATACTATATACTATATAGCACGCACGCACACTTTATAATGATACTTTTCTATGCATCTTCATTATATTATACTCTGGCAAATGGTATTATGATTTCGATGCAAAATTTGTTCTTATATATTCTCGATCAAAGCTTCAAGAGCCTCTGTCTGTTTCCATATAAGTATATCTATTTAGTCTTAACACGAACTAGCTGAGCTTATAATTTTCTTACTTACGAGATGGGCCTGATCGGATCACGTATTTCTGTCATAGGAACAATAAGTAAATGAATTAGTACGCTTTTTTTTCGTTTTTGATGTCTGGCCAAACTTTCCAATTACAAGCCTTGTATTAAAGTTGTGTTTTCAAGAGTATTTAATATTCGGCATACGAAGATAGACATTTTACATTGTTTTTAATTTATTGTACACGATTGCTTGCAATCAAGCTAGTATTATTTTTTCTTATTTATTAGTTTGACTAGCCGCCGTAGCCGTAGGGAGAGCCGTATCCGCGTGCCGGGCTTGCGTAGGGGTAACTGGGCACCAGTGGACGCCGTTGGATCACGTAGACAGGCGGGTAACCATAGCTGGGATGCTCTGCAGGCAACTTGGGGCCCTGCTCCGTTGACTGTTCCATGCTCTTGGGGGTCTCATCAGTCTCGGCGGACTTAGGTTTCTCAGCGCTGTCGCTGTCGCTGTTGCCGTAGCCCAGACCAGGTGCAAAGCCTGGGTACTGAGGTACACGTCCAGGTTGACGGAAAACGCCATAGGGTGCGCCGTAGGGAGAGTAGGGTGGCCGCAGGATCGGGTAGCTGGGATAGGGATAGCCATGATAGCTAGGTACGCCGGGTTCAGGCATGGAGCTCTCCGAGGTGGCTTTGGGCTCAGGATGAGGATAGGGATGAGGATGAGGATGAGGATAGGGATAAGGATAAGGATACGGATGTCCATATGGATGTGGATAAGCCTGTGGCTGCATAGGAGGCAAGCCTGCTTTCTTTTGAGGCTCAGTGGTTGTTGTTGTTGTCGTCGTTGTGGGAGATGTGCTCTCAATAGGTTGAATTGTAGTCTCCGGAAGAGCAGTTCCTTTGTTAATTACATCTAAGCCTTCATCCAATTTATTGATTCCATTATCGGGACGTGCGGTTGCTTTTTCATCAAGCTCCGGCTCAGGCAGAGTTGTTGTTGTCGGGTGTGGCAGGTGCACATCGTCAAGGGTTTCCTCATCAGTATGGACCGACGCGTCATTGGCCCAAATCTGCGCGCAGCTGAACGCCAATAGCTGCGCAAAAGTTAGCTTCAGTCAGTCACTGCGCTCATAGAAGAAAAAGTAAGTCTTACCTGGCTGATTAGCAATAGCTTGATATGCATATTAGATGATCTTAGCCCAAGTGTTAGTTGCCAACTGTTGGCCGGAACAGAGCTGGCGCTGGCTTTTTATAGTCCCCACATAGCTCATCGCCCACAAATTTATTAAACAGAGGGCAGACCAGACAATTAATAGATTATTTCCAATCACACTGTGATTCAAAGAACCTGTATACATGTGTACCAGAACAGAATAAAAATACTGGTTTAATACTCGATAACGTAATTGCGATTTGCAACTTTTCCATTAATAGATCAATTTTCTTTACATTGGATCGGTTTTAGATCATCAACCCATATCATAGAGAAATGTAGGTTCCGAAATTGTGTTGCACAGTGTAATTAATCTATATAGCAGTAGATTTTAGTAAGAAACTCGGCTATTCGGCAAAAGGTATTGTGCCTATTGGGGCATGGGCCGCTGGGAATTGCCCGTTCAGAACTATATCAAATCAGGAGGGGCTTTGAAGAACCATTCACAGCATTGGCTGTGCTCATAAAATCAGGCAGCTGCTCGAATCAATTACATGCGTAGAACCCCATAATGGCTCCGCTATAAAAGGAGAAAAACCCATCGGTGTTTGGTTTTTTTCAAGGGCAACCGACGGAGCGTTAACATGTCCAGAACCAAGCCGGTAAGATGACTCTCCTTGCTGAGAAGAATGTGCATTAAAATAGTCCACGGCTCTTGTCCACGTTCTTTACAGCATGCCATGCTCGTGTTGCTGGCTGCAGTAGCTGCTGTAGACACAGAAGTTACATATCTCTTTCATCAATGGAAGGTGTCCACGGCACCACCACAGACCATCACGTGGACACCACAAGCGATTTTGCAGCCGCAAATTTCAGCACGAAACAAACAAACGACGATACAGACAATACCCCCAACGCCAGAAAATCAGGAACCATCAACGACAGAATACCTGCCTGAAACAACTATCTCGCCGGCAAAAACGGTGCTGACGACCGAAACCACCAAATTAATAGATCTGGCCACACTTGAACCCAAGGAGAATGGCGGCTTTCCGTTTGCGAAGCCGGGTAAGCACAAGCACGGCCTTCGGCATGTCAAGGCACACGATGGCTTCCACAATCTGAAACGCGAGCCTCACTGGGCGCACTGGAATGATAAATTCAAAAAGACAGCAAAGCCTGGCAATATCAATTAGAATTACAATTAATAAAAACACCCTGTATACGGCTACTGCGGCGTGCACTTCTTGATTAGACTTTCTGGGCCGAAAACAAATGCAATTAGTGCGAGCCAAGCTGGCAGCTCAGATCTATGGGTACAGCAGCAGTTGGGGAGCGTAAAAAAGGTATCGAAGGTACTGCAGAGGACCAAGAGAGTGATGAACACGGCGTGCGTTTCATCATATCAAGTACGGGCCGGGCTATAAAAAAAATTTGCATTATAAAACAAATTAACGATTTTAAATATTTATAATTAACAAGGTCGCGTGCATTGCCTGAGATCTTCATGCACGATTACAGCAATGACTTAATAAATGCAAACAAATAGACATTCTCGATATTCAAAGAACCGTTTCCACGCCTTATACATACATAAATAATTACATTTACACTTTGGTTTAACGCCAACAGGTGGCTTCTCGCCTTGAGCTTAAGTAAATAAACTTTCTTTTAACTTCATTTGCACACACTGCAACATATCTAACACTATGGCTTAATAAATGCAAAGGAATACATAACGTATTTAATAAACACAAAAGTTTTCCGTACTTAACATGAATAAATTTATATATGAATTAATTTAGTTAATTTTCACGAACAGTCCAAGCTTTGTTTCAATGCCAAGAGGTGGCTCGTCTGAAATAATTGATTTCTCTCTATTCACTCAGTTTGCACGCACAGCAACAGTTCTGGCTTAATGACACATACGACAACAGATGACTTCCCCCGTCTGGCTTAAATACATAAAAAAAAAACACCACCTATCTATTTAAAAAAGAACATGCAGTGAAAACTATCAAATTTATGTCGGCAAAAGCTTTGGGTTCTTGCCTTAAGGTGGCGCTTTGGGAACTGTGAATTCGAGAAGCTTTAAGCTTTGCTTAGAGAGCGCATTGTTTTCATCAAGCGCAACCAACTTCACGTAGCTTCAAATTGGTCCGCGTATATAGATAGTGAAACAGTGAGCAAAACATTCTTAATTTACACGACTGCATTCAACTGCTAAAAAGGGCATTAGTTACGCGCAGTGTATTGCCAAGTTACCTGTCGCCGGATCCAATCAAAGCTCTGTTTAGCAGCCCGAAGTTCGCTCACGTCATATGCGGCCTCACATTCTGCATCGACCTCCGCACGAAATCTAACTGTAAATGCGAAATGCATAAGGCACAAAATGGATAAAAGTAAGAGAATTATATATTCAGTTATGTCAATTGTATACTGCTGCTGTTCCTATATATCGTAATACATACATAAGTATATAAATATGGAAAGGATGGCAGCCAGGTGAGTTCTCTTCAAGTACTTCTTTTGTATGTATCGAAAAGAAAACTTCACAAGTGTTTTTGGGTTTGGCAGCGGCCATTATTTTAATTTCAACTATTATTTTGCTTGTGGCCACTTAAACATAGACGTCGCCTCACTTTTCGCTTAATTACTTTACAACATGGAATTGCATTCTACTGTGGACTGCGTTTAGTTCTTCCACTTGTTGTTCTCGTAGTCCCACTTGGAGGTCAAGCCGGTGACTGGATTGATCTCCAGATCGATCATACGCTTCAGCTGCGCCTTCTGGTGCTCCTCATCAAATGTAATGGGCAGTTCATCGTAGACTGCAATAAGAATTAGTTTATTAGGTACACCTCGCTTACTCCATATAGCCAGACTCGCTTACCGAACAGGTTCATCAACACGGCAATCCAAATAGCTGCGGCGGTAAAGACCAGGGCCACGCCCAAATGCATCTTCCATTCGCCAGTGCTGGCTTGCACCTCGGCAATTGTCTGGCAGAAACTTGCACGGTAGAGGGCCTTGATCTCCTGCGGGCTCAACTTCTTCCAGTCGCCCTGCTCCTTGGTGCGCAGAGCGTTGATCTCATTGTTGGGCTCGCGGAAGCGCACAGCGGGCATGGGATAATCAACCCGATCTGCATAGCTGGCTGTGCCGTTCCAGCCATAGCCCACAATTTCACGTTTGCCAATTTTGTCCAAGGTGTGAATCGAGGCAACGCTGCCTACCTGCGCATTGCGCGGCAACTGCGCAGCGAGCTGGCGACGTATAGCGCTGTTGATTAGTCTAAGAGCCATAGTTTCAGAGCTGCAACGATAGAGTTCAGTTTTTAGCATTGGTTTATTTCGCGATAGGCATGGTTATAGAGGGGCGCGGGGGTGACGCATATGAGGTTATGTAACACCTGCACAGGCTACGTGCACGATAAAATAAATATTTAATCAGTTGCAGCCGCTTCTGCCACTGCAGCTACTTATTAAATATTATTTATACTTTTAGTACAACGCCTCCAGCGCATATATTTGCCATTTTTCATTGCTCTCGTACGCCTTGTGGCATTTGTTGTGTAATCGGACATTTTTTCACACAATTTTCAAAGGCTGTCCTCAGAAAATGTACAGCCGCCGCTGCATTCAGCGCTCAACATTCTGTTATTTTTTACAAACATTTCAAAGGAATTCAAATATACTGCACAAAAGTAAACTTATTTTTTATAAACTATATCACAAATTACCAAATCTGTAGACGGCACGGCTTGTTCTGGATAGACTTTGTTATCGGCTTGTTAGGAATAAGTTCATATGAACGAATAATTGGAATGAAACCATCGCCGACGATTTATTTATTTATTGGCTCGAAAATATCGATATATTGTTAAAATCTATCATCTGCGACATATCGTTGTCACGATAATATGCGTTTGGCGCATTTTTCAAATTGCTGTGAAAAGATATTCAAAATGCAACAAAATTTTAGAGTAGCTACGAAGTTTAAATAGAAATGAGTAAAATTCACGTGTATCAATGTGCTTTATTTTATTTATTTATTCTTTTGTATTTTCATAGAAAAGTCAAAAGAGAGTGAAATAAGATGTAATAGTTTTAGATATATAATTTTTATTTATATTTTTACAGGCAGCCCAATCGTTTTTCCCAGAGACTAAATGGGACAGAGAAACCAAGTGGGATATGGGGTAAGTTGCTCTTTACCATATGACATTTTTTAATATTAAATTACTTGCATCCGTTTTTTCTAAAATCGGTCAACATCGATTTTAAATGTATGTGCGATTTATTTCTAACGGTGCTTTCACATCAAGACTAAATCTTTTGATGATTATTTCTGTAGGAGCAATATTATATAGTAGTCCGATGCTTAAACAATTTTACCAATATGTGAGCATAGTAAGGAAGGTAATTGCCAATTTTGATCATGACATCTGAAAGAATAGAAGTTCATACAAGAACACCATTCGATAGCAAAAGTCCATATGGAAGGTGTTTGAGTCTGATTCGACACGGCCATTTCCTATTCAACTTGTAATAGGGTATAAAAAGTGAATTTTGAAAATCGATTCATTCGAATTCAGGGGAACGCGCGTTGCTATATAAAATGGAAAAAATACCATAACCGATATTAAAATGATTTCCTTTAAAAAAAATAATTATATTGCAGCCCTTTAGCATGCTTTTAATTAATACTTTTCAAGCATGTCTCTGATGCGGGCCAATAGATGGCGTACTTTGCAGTTTCCAAATTTATTCGTGTTGAATTTCATTTATATTGCAGCCCTATAGTATGCTTTAAAATATTGTATTATCAAGTTTGTGCTGCTAACCATTAGATGATGCTCATAGATGGCTCTCATTAATTCAATTTATTTTACAATTTATTTTACTTCTAATATTTGATTGTCAAGCATGTTTCTCCTGCTGGCCATTAGATGGCGTCAAAGGGCTCCCATTTAAAAAAAATGCAATATATTTATATAATTTATTATATGTATTTTAATTTATTTGATTTTGATTTGATTCACATCTCATAAATGTACACAGTTAAATTAGACAGAGACAGGACATATAATTGCAATATTGTTATTTATATATAAATATGTATTTTAGCTGTTAGTTTTGCTGTTGTTGTTGTTGTTGTTGTTGCTCTTCTTCTTCATCTTTTTGCTTTAGACGTCATGCTTGTTAATTTTGCTATTTGTTATTTTGGGGGATTGTTGGGGGTATTACGTATTTGATTTCTCGCATTTATGCTGCTGCTGTGGTTAAGCGCTGTATGGCATAATAAATTGTTTAAATAGTTATTGTTTTTATAAATATGCAATATGTTTGTAACAATATTTAATAATAATTATGCAAATAATTAAACTAAAGTGAAAGCTTTTTCCTTTAAATGTACATCTTGTAAATATTGGTAGTAGCAAAAACTTAGGGCTACATTTACAATAGGTTTCCCTTTTTGTTTATCGATATTTTGTTTGGGTATAAAATGTTGATACCGTCGTAGAGTTTGTTACTTAAATGTAGTTAGGGTTGTTTTTGGTTTTCTATATACAAAAAGTGTGCTGTTTTTTCTTTAGCAATTCTTTAACATTATATGTTGGGCTTTCTTTTTCAATTTATTTTTTGTCTTTGGCCTGCGCTGAGCTAACGCAAATGGTTACCAGATTTTATGAATATAGATGGATGATTTCTTTATTTATGGTTTACTGATGTTGGAAATTTGCATTTTTAACAAGTGCGCTAAAAAGTGCAATTCTACATTGGAGACAACGAAAGAGAGAGAGAGAGAGAGAATAAGAGAAGATGATACACTCAGAGAAATATCTTTTTTAATTCTATTATGAATAAGATAGAACTTATACGGATTTGTTCTTTATAATTCTTGAACATTCTTGATTTCAATATTGACGTAAATATGCTTGATTTAAATACCAACTATTTATACTTCGAATTGGCAATAGATTGATTACTGTAGTTGACTTTTGTATTTTTGCGATTTGGATTTACAAAAAATTCAGGAATTTCAGCCTTGGCTGATTTAGCCAAGATTTCGAGTACTTAATTTACATATTTTCTCAGAGTGTAGGTTGATAGTTTATTGGTTTTGTGCAAATGGAAAACTCTTGAAACTGCTTTTGAACTCGTATGCGAAAGTAGTGCAAGAAATTTCCTTTGTGGGATGTGTGTGGGAGTGTGTGTGTGTGTGCGAGGGTGTGGGACAGTTTCCAAAGGCGCTCAGTTGCAACGCAAACAAAAAAACAACTAATTTGGCATGTAAGAAGTTAAGATCTGGGAAGGGACGCACTACTCGGCGCCCGCCGAGCTGTCTGGTGTTACATTAGAGTCCAGGCTGGCACAGTCTGATTCCTGATCCTGTGTCTCCGAGTAGTTGGCTGCCTCCTGCAGACGCATCAGCATGTTTAGCTATAAAATTGGATAGAAATCAACACAAGTTTTTAAGAGAGTTTAGCCAAAATAGTTACCAATGGATCCTGTTGCTCGCCATTGCTGAGAGCCACGCCCTCCAGGCCGACATCCTCGGCATTAATCTGACGCAGCGGCGGCACCGAATCGGGTCCATAGGGCCAGGGATATGAGTTGCGTATGAAGACCGAGGGATCGTTCCAGGCGCCACCGCGTCGCCCATAAAGCTGCACGCCCTCGCGCACCGCCTCGATCAGATAGGGCGACAGATGATAGTTCCAGATATCTGTGAACCACACCTGCGAGTCCTTTAGGTCCAGCGGGCAGGAGAGAAACAGGCGCGGTCCAATGGTCACATCACTGGAGCTGTGCACCTCGAGGAAGCGATTGATGTGCTGCCAAACGGATGGCAGCCAGGCGAGTACCGCGGCAAGCTCGGACTGCGCATGCTGCGTCTGCAGCTCCAATTGGAACAGGCGACGGCGCAAAAAGCGACCGAGGAAGCCCTTGACCGGCTCCATGTGGTTGGCCGTGAGTACCTGTTAAGTGAGCAAATGGATAAGCTTCTTGGACCAGACCTGGCTTAAAATAGATGGATTGCCTACCCAGCGGAAGTTGTGATGCAGCTGCAGATTGGTGGTGTTGCAGGTGGCCTGCGACATGGTGCCAATAATACAGGGCAGCTTGGTGGCCGGCCCGGCGCTGAGCAGGCACGAGAAGACATCCCCTAGCGCGGAGGCATGATGCAAATTGTCCAATATGATCACAGATGGCAGCTCCGAGACGCCATTCGCAATGGCCGCCTGCTCAGCAATGTGGCCCAGATATTGCCTCAGATCCTTGGAGGTCTTGTGGTCCACGCTGCAAGCAAAGCGAGAAACTGATTAGCAGAGAACAAAGAAACAGACGTGAAAGGAACTCACTTGAACGTGGCGATGGCCTCCGATGGATTACCACGGCCCGCGCGTGCCACCAAAAACTCGGCCAGGCGGCGCGCCAAATAGGATTTGCCCGTGCCGCTGGGGCCGCACAGGATTAAGCGCCGATGCTCCGTCAGCAAGCTTATATATCGATGCACAATGCTGCGCGGAATGAGGCTATCGAAAGCCAGACTGCCGACACCCTGTAAACATATATACAGGGTCTTCACATTGCCCACAATATAGCCGCAGGGCAGCAGCTCCGGGAAGCCCATTTCAGGGCCACGCTTCGCCTCGCCCAGATGATACGATGTAATCGAGTCTGTGTTGAGGCCCAAATTGGTGCCGGGATCAATGCGTGCCACATAATCCTTGAAGGTCTTGCGAACAATATAGTCTAGATTCTGCCAGGTCGTTTTTCCCGAAATGTAGGTGCAGGCAATGATAAACTCATTCGTACCAGATGCCTGTCGCTCGCCCTGCTGCACTTGCTGCCCCTGTCCTTGGACTTGGCCCTGGCACTGCTCCGCCTCGTGGCTGGCAATGATGGCGCCATTCGCATAGAAGTCATCCAGTTCGAGCAGCTCATCGCAGTACTTGGCAAACGATTCGGGCTGGCCCAAGTAGCAGGCAATCGCTATCTTCTTGCCGTCGCACACATCAGGCAGCTCCTCGACGGTGCTGGCCATATGCACCGGGCTGCCCAGCTGTGCCGCCTCCAGCGCGGGTGGCGGTGGCGTCAGATCGATGTGCGTGTTCGGACTTAGCGGCGCTGTGCCGGACGCTGCACTGGGTGCTGGCGGTGGCGGTGGCTCCGGTGCAGGTGCCGGCGGCATGCAATCCTCCTCCAGCTCCTCGGTCAGACGTGGCGGCAGCTCCATGGGTGGCCGTGCATTGCCGTCGGCCAGTGAGTAGCGACGCGAGGCATCCGAGCCGCCGGCGCCACCGCCCAGCGAGCCATTCGGGCTGATGGCCTGGCCGAGGCTAGCCTCGGAGCCGGCAAGGGAGCGACTGGTGACCAGTTTCTGGAGACGCTCGTTATTCTGCTTAAGCGACATCATCTCGGCGCGCATCTTGTTCATCATGTCCTTGAGGCTCTCCAGCTGCGAGGCGGAGCTAAGCGCCTCCAAGCGTATATCCGTGAGCACCAGATCCTTTTCGCGCAGCTGCTTCTTCAGATCCTCGACCATATGCTGATCCTCCTGGTCAATGGCATCGATGGGCTTGGCATTGTCTATCAGCGTTACCGTCTTGGCCGGGCTGCTCTGCTTGCTGGACGCATTCGCCACGGGCATCGGTGGTGCCGGATGCGTGGCCAAGGCGGCCAAGCCCAGCGGCTCGCCGTGTCCGTGCCCGTGTCCATGTCCATGTCCGTGTCCATTAGGCAGCGACGTTTTGCTGGAGCTGTGCTCGTGCTGTTGTTGATGGTGCTGTCCCACATGGCGACTCGTCTTCGAGATTTTGGCATTGCGCGAGAAGGCCTTGGTGAAACTGCTGCGCAGCCAGCCCTTCTTCTTGTTCGCCTTGTTCTTATCCTGCGCCGCCGAGCAGCCCGAGCTGATCGAGTTCAGCGAGCACATCGAATCCGTGCTGTGCTGTCGCTGCATGGCCACACCCACACCCAGGCCATTGCCATTTGTGTTGACATTGGGATTTCCAGGTCGTGCATTGCCCACGGGCACTGGCGGCGGCTTCTGCTGCAGCATCAGCTCGTTCTGGCTCTGGCCCTGCGTCTGTACGCCCATGCTCTGCATGTGCGCGGTGGTCAGGCCCGCCTGGATGGACTGCTTGCGCAGCAGCTCAATCGTCTGCCGCATGTCTGTCAGCTCCCCATCCTTACGCTCCGCCGTCGCAGTCAGCTGTTGCAGGCGATTTGTCATGTTGGTTAGCGACTGCTCGAACGCGGATACCACATGGGCCTGCAAAATAGAGAGTAGAAGGTTTCTTGTTTATATAAAACAAATACATCATTTGGCTTAACACTTAAGCCATGCTCGGCTCGACTCAAACAAATTAGTGTGAAGAGTTAAAGGAATTGAATGATTAAATTCCTTGATTTTACGCTTGTTAATAGCAATCAATAACTGGGCTACTGAACAACTTTGATCTTATATAAGTCGGGCTTGAACCGTCGATTTCTCGTTTGTCAAGAGAAAGAGAGAGAAAGGAACATCATCAAAATTGAGAACAACTTTTTGTTAGTGAAGCGATTTTCAGTTACATTTTAGCATTTATTTTAAAAAGAAAAGTTCAAAATTGTGGTTTGAATTTAATTCGGAAATTGGTTTCAGGCGAGTAAATAGGTGGGGGGAGGGGGCATTGAATACTTGCTGCATCAATAATTTATCATCACAATTGTGTGGCCCGTTCCCCGCTCCGCCCCCTGCCAAGTACTAGCATGCAACCCGCACGTCACAATCGTGCATGGCATTTTAAGCCCTGCTTGATATGCAAGCGGTTCCTCAACTGGTGTCTGGTGGCCTGGACAGAGATGACTCATGACTCATGACTCCTCATGCCTGAGCCTCTAAGCGCAGCTTTAAAAACTTCTTTCAAAACTTGCTTCATAGCACAGACCCACACAGCCCCGCACAGACTGGCCAGACACCTGCGCCATAAACAAGCATTAGAACCTGTGCCCAGCTCCAGGCAGCTCCTCAGTTGCCTGGCCGCAAGTTCATGGATGGTTTTTTTATGATGCGACGTGACCGGCGCGCTCTCCATGGCTGTCGCTTGCGGATGGGTCATTCGGGGCGCTGGCGGCACGCATTTTGTCAGCGAGTTGCAGCATTTGTGAAGGCATTAATTCCCGCAGAAAGAAACATAAGGAAGCTTAGAGCAGAGCAGGCGACTAACTGTTTCAAGTTAATGAGCGCTATTAAAGTATAAAACAAGTACGAACTTAGCAGTCGACTGCACAATACTCTCTGTCCCTCTCTGAATAATAGAAGAAGCGACTCTTAAACTGTAATCCCAAGTCAGTTAAGCAGTTTATATGAGTCTCCAGGTTCTCTTCGGAGTCTCCAGGTTCCATAGCTTTCTAAAGATTGTGTTTATACGAGCAAATAGAAGGTCAGTTTAACGAGCCTTGCACAAAGCCAATATACTTGTTATTCACTTTGCAAGCAGAGTATAGTCAAGTTAGATATATATGTGTATTAATATGACTCAGCGCGGAAGTTGTAATTGCAGTTTGCTGTCCAGACGTGAGGGCATGCCAAGGGTAGGCAAAAGAAAAAGAGCGGAAGCAGCAGCAGCAGCAGCAGCAGCAACTAATGCTGAAGTGGCATCAATAGCCAACGAATGAATGGGCGAATTAGGTCTTGAGTTGGGAAAGTGAATAATGAAGTCAACCAATGCCAATGGGTTGCATCTGCAGTTGAACTTATTAAGTAATTGAGTTGGGCAACAAGCCGAATGCCCTTATTCATTATCTCAAATTGTCATTTGAACTTGGAAATATTATTTATGGAAAGTACTTAAGTATGCCAAAGAAAGCATAGTTTACAGCAATTAAATTGCTCAGAAATATTAAGTTGAAAGATTACCTAATAATTGAGTACTGTCAATTATTTGAATATTATTTCAAAATAGAAATTTATTTTGTGTCTAACTTGATTTTTTTTTGCTTTTCGCACCAGAACATATCCCAATAAGCTGTAAGGAATGCTCAAGTAATTTTGTAGCTCAAGTTTATCTGGCTGTTAATTATCGTAACATTAGCATTGGCGTGCGGTTAGTTCATAGGAAATAAATAATAATACATGATGCATGGATGATATCATCGCACAGTTGTCTTTGGACTATCGATAGTCGGTTAATTAAATGGGAAGAATTTGAATTTTTGTCGTAAGCTAAGTAAAGCTGACTAAATGCTATCGCAGTTAGTTGGTTATTAAACAAAACCGACTCGTAACGCTCGTATCTCTCGTATCTCCCCTACCGTCTTACGTGCCTATGTTTCGTTTATTGATAAGCATCTAACACGTTTCACATTTTAATTTGCGTGCCGCTTATGCAAATTAAGTCAAGTCGACACGCTCAACAACGGCAACAACTGCGACAACAACTACAAATGGCGGCTTTTAAGTGAAAAAATAAGTTTAAAATAAAGCAAAACAAAGTATCGGCCACTTCTAGAGCTCAACTTGTTTACAGAGTTCAAGGACGGCGCTTAAATTGCCCGTTCAACTGAGGCTGAGTTCATTTTTAAACGTTTTTTTTTGCTGCTGTTTTTACTATAAGCTCGCTCCACCCCACGCCTAGCTCCAAAACAGACCTATCTTGATAAATTGTTTGATATCTGACTTTAATTGCTTTTTCACAAGTTGTGCTTAGCTTAGCTTTAACCTGTAAAGCACCTCATTTGTGGTCTCACGTGTTACGCATACGCACTGTAATCAATTTTTATGTTTCACCTGAATATACGTGAGGCGGCTGCACAAATGTGGCACCACGAAATAATGTGAAAAGTTGCCAAGTTGGTTTTGTGGCATGTGGCAACTCCCTCAAAAAGGGTTATCTAGGATCTTGGCTTTTGGGTGTTAGGAACTGAGAACTCGGTTTTCTAATGTGTGGCTCAAGCGACTAAGCATGGGCGAAAATGAAAAGGTTGTTTGGAGCACGTTCTGCAAAGCGTAAATTATAATTTAATTAGTCTGGCAACGTCGGCACAGACTAACGCCAAAATGAGCCTCGCATGCTAATTATTTTGATGATAATGTAAACGTAAACTGAGTTATAGAGCAGCGGGTAGCGCAGATTGCGAATAATATTCAAGAGTTTAAAGCCAAGACTTTTTACTAACTGGCAACCTATTCAACTTTCTGGCAACTCTGAAAAAATTGCATAGCGATTTCAAGCTACAAAATTAAAGACCAAACTGCTGAAACAAGAGAAACGAAAGCAATTGGCATTGAAAAGCGACAAACGGAAGGGCATCAAATGAACAGCAAACAACAGCAGCAGCAACATTTAGAACAACAATAGCAGACACAAGATAGAACAACAATATATTTGTGCAACTTCTAGCGGCAACTGTTGCATGCTGACTCCAACTCTTGAAGTTGCTCTCAAACTGTGTGGCTTTGGCTAACTGTCTGCAATGTTGCTATTGTTGCTAATGTTGCAGCTGTAGTTGCAGTTGCTGCTGCTGTTGTTGTTGCTGCACTTCATTAGCACAGCGACGGCAACGGAGCGTAAAGAAACGCGTTACGCCTCGGCTGGCAATGTTAGCGAAAAGGGAGAGGGTGAGTGAGAGAGAAAGGCACAGACAGACAGAGAGAGAGAGAGAGAGAGGGTAGAACCAGCGAGTGAATGGCATATGGAAAGTCAGTTGTGTAGGGCTCCGTATGCTAAACAACTTTAGCAGCAACATCAGCAATATCAGCAGCAGCAACAAAAGTTGCCAACTTAAATTCGACTGTCAGAGTTGCTGGCGCGTGAGCTGTTGCTGTTGTTGTTGTTACTATTGTTGCTGCTGCCTAATTTATTGCTTGCAATTTGCAGACAGCACAGCACAAAGTTCAAGTTCAATGGCAGCAACAACCAAAGCAGCAGCCGCAGCAACCGCAGCAACAGCAACAACTAGGCAACTTGGTTTTAGTTTTTGGTCAGCAACTTTGCTGAAACACATTTAACACGTCGCCGTTGCTGATAGCATGCGTATCAGCTTTAGATAACAGTCAACTATTGATAAGGCAGCGGCCTTCGATTAGCTTCATAGTTAGTGTCTAGCTGCTTAAGTAGGTCGCCGGCAAAACAACGACAGCAAATGTTTCATGTTGCTGGCGTGCATAAATCATGTTGAAAGAGCTGCGGCAGCGCGACAACCACTTGACAATTGCTGTTGCAGACATCGGGCGCACATGTGTTGCCTCTGGCAGCAACATGCTACGTAGGCGTGTGCACTTTGACCTTTTCAAATGATTTATGCCCCGGCAACAGCAACAACAGCAGCAGCAGCAATTGCAACTGCATCTACACTTGACATTTGTTTGGCCGAGATGCTTCAAAGGATGTGTTGCAGTTGTCACTGCTTTGGGATTTATTATGCAGGCCGGTGGGGGGCGTGACATTGGAAATTTGCCAAGCATTGCCACAGTGAAAGTTTGACAGCCACTGGCAGGCATCAAGTGCGGGCGTTCGTCTAATTAATGATTAATGAAGGTCGCAGGTTCAAGTCAGCTGCAAATTTTAAATTTTTTTCATTTGGTTTTTCAGCTGCTTCAAGTCGCAAAATGTGCAGAGGTCTAATCACTTTGACCCTCTGCCAAAGATATAGACATCTTCCTAGTTAATATGATTGATTTCTGTTGCGAATTATGACTGGAAATTTAAAAGGTAGTTTTTCAGAGATGGCCAAAGTTAATGGAATAAATACTTTTCTTTAAGTGTGCAGCATGGGGTAGATAAGTGCAGGCACTTCATCTAAAGATATATATATGTATATATATTTTATATCGCAATATATAATCGCAAGTTGCCACTGCATTAGATAAGATAAGATATTTGCGGGCATTAGTTCTGGTAATTACACTTTCTAATCTTATCGGCCTCACACTAATCGCCAGTGCTAGCAAAGAGTTTGAAGCATTTGAAAAGTATTTAAAGTAGAACTCAAGTTGAAATTAAATGGAATATTGTATTTAATAAAGTCTCGACAGACTTTTAATTAATATTTCTCGAAAGGCTTCACATATCTTTATTTGTGAATTTCTCATTGATTTCCTTTGCCATTTGCCGATTAGTTTATTTTGCATTTTATTTGGCAACGCCTCAAAAACTGTTTGCCTTTGGCCAAGCTGATCACAACACAGTTGCCGCCACATAATAAACTGATTAACAAACTAATCCAATGCGATTGTTTACGACTGAGATGACTGTATCCAAAGCTGAACTCAGCCAGAGATGCGACATGCGCATCGTTTCCACTTGGACGAGCTACGACTGGGCAGCCAGAGCTGCGAGCAGGGGCAGAAATAGCAAATCATCATTAAGATCTTGTCCGAAAGAGAGAGGGAGATGAAGAGGTAGAGAGAGGGGCTGCTGGCAGTTGGATTATGCTCGAAGTGAGAGAAACGGCACCACAGACACGCCGGACCCACACGGGACCACAGTCACAGTCACATGCTGTCTTTGATCTTGAGCCGCCTCAGAGATCGAACTGAGACTGCGAGGAACCCTGGACAGTGGCTGGTGAAAGACAAAGATTGTAGTTTCCATTATTTGCACAAGACTTCTCTCGATGGCTGCAAAGTTCTCAATTCTCGTTTCTCAGCGATTGCGCTTTGCAATTTCGCGGCATTGCACAAATTTGTGGCTTAGATAAATTTGCCATTCGGCTAATGGCCAGAACAACTACTTACGATACCCCCAAGTGTGCTTGAAATTGATCTGAGTTCGGTCACTTACCTGCAATGAGAAGAAAAGAAAGAGATTGTAAATTTCAGCTGCATTTCACAAAATATGTAGACATTAATTATAAATTACTTGTGGGGTTTTAAGGATTGGTCTTGCACAACAGATTCCTTAACTGCCAGTTAATAAGATAACAGGCAGCCCAAATATATAATTCAAGCCAAGAATTTGTACAGGCAGCATCGATAAAACAAATTAAGCAAAGAAACGAAATATTTACAATATTTGCTCTGCAAAATAATCAGATTTTGGGCTGATATTACTCAGGAGTTGTGCTTAGCTATTTGTAAGACTTGAAGTTTTCATTTCATTTCCAATTGAGTTTTCTACTCAAATCAAATGTTTCTATTTTCTTCAATCGTAAAATTCTGAATTTGTGCATTTAGCTCTGATATCCCCCCCACTTGACACGAAACCCATTTATAAGACCCTCCAGTCATTAAATTACAATCTCTTAAGATTCCCATTTGAGTCCATTTCCCCCCCAAAGACAACAACATGAGTAAACATGTAAATCTCTTACTTACAGCCTAGTTCCCATTCCATCCTTGCACCCATTCCCCCGTCCCCTGTGGAATGAGTTGTCTTTTTTCTTAAAGAGCGACACGATCAATGTCCATTGAAGGGCGCATTGTTCAGTTTTTGTTTTGTTTTATTGATTATTCGATTTCAAGACCGGAAGCCACAAAAGACACACGTTCAGGATTACAACAAAAAGTAATCCATACTCGATTGTGTGTGTGTGTGTGTTAAAAATAAATATCATGAAGATGCAGAAACCTCAGACAGCACAGTTCAGACCTCAGACCTCAGACCTCAGACCTTAGTCCAGCAACCAGTTTTTAATGCTTTGATTTTTATACCCTTATTAAGAGTATTCTAGTTTTCTTACGAAACGTGTTAAGCACACCAAAAAATACTGAGTTATATTTTATTAAAAGCAACATCCAATCCCCTTTTTTGCTGCATGCAGTACATATGTGTGTCAGAATGAGCTGGATCGAAAAACTATATCACATACATATATCATGTATGAAAAAGAGTTATTTTTTAAGATATTTTAACCAAACTTGGTATTTATTCATTTTAATATCTTCCTTATATATAAGCAAAATTTTATGTCTTGTCCAAACTCAACATTACGTCACTTCTGCTAACATATCTGCAAAATGGTATAAAATCGTTCTACTATATCATATCGAGCCTATAGAAATATTCTCTTCAAAATCATGTGTTTGTTTAAATGCACTTCATAGCGAAGATTATTCAAGCTTCGGTATTAAATCTTGTCAAGTGTATTCAATCTTCGGCGTGCTGCTCTCAATATTTATAAATTTCGAGTAAAAACTTAATTCGTCTTTTTATCGGAAGGGCAGTCGCAGGTCTTCAATTTCTTCTTCTACGTTCTGTTTGTCCATTGTTGTTTGTTGTTTGTTTTGATTCTGGTTTTGTTGTCTTGTTGGGCTGCTCGAGTTTGTTTGAGTTTGCTTTCGCTGCCAGCGCTGATTTCCTTGGGGAGACTGTCGAACAGACGCGCTCGTCCTGCGACATGTGGACCCTCTGAACAGCTTCATCAGCGTCGAAGTCTTTGTCTTTGTCTTTTTTCTCTCTATTAAGAGTGCGCACCGAAACGAGTTTCAGCTGCACTGCAAACAGGTTTTCTTCTCTGCTGGGTTTCGGTTTATTTATTTACGTTTTTCGTTGTTGTTTTTTATTTTTCGGCTTAGACACCTGTGACTCTTTGTGCACCGAGGCCTGGCCTGGCTTGTTCGAATAAATATTTATGAATTAAGCAGATACAAATTGCATTTGTCATAAATTAAAGGCTGCCACTGCAGCCAAGAATTTAGAAACCATGTTAAAAAAACCCAAATACCACAAGAAACAAAATAGATACCAAATAACTGCGCATAGATCAGGTGTTGCTGTCATGTTGGCTTTGACAAAAAACAAGCCGCCAAAAGCTAAGAGAGAGTCAGCCAGGCAGTAAGTCATTCAGTCAGTCAGTCAGTCATTCGCTGAGCGCTCAGCGGGCTGCCTTGTGGCAATTATAACGAGTATCTATGAGATACAAATAATGCATATAAGTATATATATATATATGTTGCATGTGCAGACAGGCCGTCGGTCGGTCAGCCGCCTGTCACTATACACGATCGCCACATCTCGTTTATCAGAAATTGTTTTTAATAAGCGATGCCAAAAGATAAAAACTAACGAGTTACTTAAGCTCAGTCGAGCTCTGCTGCAACCCATTCATTGGGTTGCCAATTTGTTGGCATTTGTCGGCGTTGTTTGCAGTTTTTTTATATATTTTTTAATTATGCATGAAGCTGCTCAAGACATTTGAGATACAGTCGGGCTACTGCTAAAAAACTAGAGCAGCAGCCTTGCATTAGAACCAGCGAAAAAGAAGAGCTTGGAATATACTAAAAGAGTGCTCAAGTTGACAGATTTACTCGATTGCAATAAATAAATAACTGGCACTAATTGCGAGTTTAAGGTGAACGTGTTAATTATTTTAAATTGTTATAAAAGGCAGCTGCGTTTTTATAGTTGATTGTATTTCAACAAAAAACTATTGCAACTAAGAGTAAGAGTAAGTGTCTGACTAATTGGCAACTATTTATATACACATCTATATCTATTATTTATTCTCGTATTACTTTTCTGTTTATTATCTTCCATATGCCTACTTCTATTCATTTACATTGACTACAAGGTATACCGATTCGTTTTGATTAATTTGCAAAATTTGACATTCAATTGAAGTCTTCCGTTAATTGATTGCCCAATTTTTACCTATGTAAAATAATTAATAGACCCATATTGCGTTCGATTGATCAATCAAAATCACATCAGTCAGCTCTTGATGATGGCATTCTCTTCGGTTATTGCTAAATATGTAGATTTCTTATGGAATGCTATCAATTAGAGGCAATCAGCATTTGACATTCAACTTGATCTAATTGAACCCGTGAACTACTGTAGTCAGCCATCGGCTGCCATCCGGGCGGCACAGTGCTGCTCAAACTGTAATTATGATCGTGCTACTCGTGATCGTTTCACACGCCCGCCAACAATCTGGCCAAGCTATCAAACTACCAATTTCACTTTTCATTTAAAGCCTCGCCGCTTCTCGTCTCGAGTTACCAACTTAAATTGGCAGCTGTTGAGCTCCTCGGCGCCTCGGCGCTTCGGCTGCTCATAAATAAACATGAAAAACGCTTTAAAACGTGCTGCCGTTTGCTAAGCCAAAAAAAAAAATAAAAATATCTATAAAAACCCGCTTTAAAAAAGCGCCAAATCGGAAAAAATAAATATATTAAATGTACTCGACAAGCGGCTTATCTGGCAACTTTATTTGCTTTGAAAGTTGACATTGATTGGACCCGCAATTGCCGCATTTGTGTATTGGCCTGTATGCCAAAAACAGATTCCTCTTGTGATTGTTTACAACTTTGACTCCAAACATGTTTTCTATATATAACTGACGTCTCTGCTTTTCTAGGATTGCTGCGAGGATATCATGGATGCCCCAGAATTATTTCGTTCTACATACGAAGAGCGAGGAATCCAGCTCTGAATGGAGTTGTCTCTGACATTGACTGCAATAGTGCTGCATTAGGACCTTTGCTGTGTTACCAGGTAAGAGAATAATTTGAAGGTCTTTCAGTTCATTTTACATTATCCTACAAATTTCAGGCGATTTCTGCACAACACCTTTGCCAACTTGAGAGAATGGCGTTGGACTTCTAGCTTCGCATGTGTTGCACTCCTCCTATGATCCCGGAACCTGAAGCCTGTTATCTCCCTCTCTTCCTTGCCGTGGTCAAAGAACCCGCTGACAGTGGCCAGCTTCCGGAGTATATGGTCACGGGCTCTGAGCTACTTTGACATTGACTGCAATAGCGCTACATCAGGCCGTTCGCTCTGTTACCAGGTAAGAGCATAAATTAATTTAGTTCATTTTACATTATCCTACACTTTCAGGCGATTTTTGGACAACTTTGCCCTTTTGACTGTGGCTGATGGTGTTGGAGTTCTTGCATCGCATGTTTTGCACGTTTTCCCATGATCCCACAACCTGAAGTCTGTTTGCTTTCACTCGTCCCCTTGACGTGGTCAAAGAACTCGCTATCAATAGCCAACTCCCCGCGTAGATGAGGCCACGGGCTCTGAGCTACTTTGCATTGACTGCAATAGCGCAACATCAAACCTTTCGCTCTGCTACACGGTAAGAGCTTCAATTGAAGGTCTTTCATGTTATATAACAATATCCTACCATTTCAATAAACTTGGGTGTGGATGGCGTTGGAGTTCTAACTGCGGATGTGTTGCTCTCCTTCCCATGATCCCGCAGCCTGAAGCCTGCTCGCGCTTCCTTGCCCCTTGCCCTAGTCAAGGGACTCGCTGACAATGGTCAACTCCCGGTCACGATGAGGCCACGGGCTCTGAACTACTGCAAAAGCACCTCATCAGCCTGTTCGCTTTTTTATCAGGTAATAGCATAAGTTTCAGATTTTTCGGTTCATTTTACATTATGCTACTATTTCAGGCGAATTCTGGCGAACAACATTGCCGACTTGGTGGGACGGTTTCGGAGTTCTAGCAGCGCATGAATTGCCCTCCGCTGACAATGGCCCGTTCCCGGCGTAGATGAGGTCACGGGCTCGGAACTACTTTGAATATCATTGGCCGAAAACTCGACTGCTGCCACGCCCTACAAATTAGCTAGTATTCGCAGCTAAGTATGTCATATCTTAGTGTTCCTGTTGCTCTCTTTGCTTAAATTTCAAATCGAATAGTGGAATGTTTTGAAATTTAAGCAGAGTTATATTACGATCCTATCGCATTTGTAAGGATATGGTCAAGATATGGCTAATTTTGTTAAATTGAATTGATCACAAAATAGTACATAGCCAAATCGATGACAATTTTAATGTCCTTTGGCCAACATATAGTCGTTATCCAATTAAAAATGCTTAATCAACAGGATGAAGGTACTTCGCGATACTCACGAGTCCTCGGTAAATCAACTTGCATAGACCAGGGCTGTCAACCGGCCAAAGAAGATAAAAGCTGTCCTTGATTTCAAAGGGATTTCGAAATTTCATCCTGTTTTTCATAGGCTTGCTTATAAAATTTGTCTAATCCTAAGAATCTTTAATGCAGATCGATGCAGTTGCTCCTTATAATCGCAATGCACCAAGCCTTTTGAAAATCCACAATGACAATTTCTCTTGAAAGGACATTAATCACGAACTCGGCCATAACTTTGACATTTTAATCCTCATCCGTCCATTTAAGTATCACTTTAAAAATACTAGAAAGCCCTTCAAATAGCCAAGAAAAATTGCATTTGTCTGTGGAAAATATATGCTATATCTCGGCATTGTCCTTGCGAATCCTGACAAGTGTTGTCACACAATTCGTATGGATTAGGGCTATCAACTGGCCAAAGGACATCCAAATCCTCCTAGTATTTTTCAAATTATCAAGGATTTGTTTTTTGGTCTTTTGCCTAGCACGTCGCGACAAATTTGAACAAGTCCATGACTCTTAGATGACCCCATAATGTTTTAATACAGTTCGATGCAGTTCGTCCCTACGATCCTAACGCACCATGTCCTTTGAAAATCTAGTAGAATACGGACGAATAACGGCTATTTTTCTAAAAAGGATACTATTACAAAACTGTCCATAACATAGGCATTTCAAGGACTTTTAGAATGTCCTTTGGCCAGCAGACTTTCCTTGTCTTGCCCATACACAAAATATAATGAAAAGAACGAAGGTCCTTCAAACAGTCCAGATATAAGAACATTTGTTTTGTACATAAAAATGGCTATATCTCAGCCGTATCCTTGCGGATCTTGACAAGTCCTGTGTTAAACAACGTGTATTGACTAGGACTACAAACTGGCCAAAGGACATACAAATAGTCCTTGTGCTTTCCGGAATATGGCTACTTTTTAAAAAGGACATCCTTTTTATGACCATAACTTAGTCAAATCCTGAAGGATATCGAAAGGATATACATTTTAGAACTCTTGGCGAGCAGATCTATCGAATGGCATTCAAGGATTTTCAGGATTCGACAAAAAATTTCACAAAAAAATTGTACAGGGGTTTACTCAGAAAATGGCCAAATATCGAAAAATTCGGGTTTAACTTCGTCATTTGAAGGACTATCGGGATGCCCTTTGGACAGTAAATAGTCCTCATCCTCCCATTTACGAATATGCAACCCAAAGGACGAAAATCCTTCGGACAAAAAAGTCTTAAGGACAAATTTTTAAACCGAAAATAGCTTATAACTCGGCTATATCCTGGCGTATCCTGACGAGTCCTGTGTCAATTGTATTGACTAGGACTACCATCTGGCCAAAGGACATCAATATTGTCCTTGTAGTTTCAGAAATATTGCAATTTTACTGTAATTGTATGATTTCGGGCAATTTTCCTTGCGGCCCGCGACTGAAAAATTACCAAGTCCAGGATTCTTAGATGACCCCATAGTTTTTGAATGCAGTTCGATGCAGTAGGTCTCCACGATCCTAACGCACCATGTCCTTTAAAAATCTGCAAGGATATGGCCGAGTTATGGCTATTTATATCCTCCAAATGCCCTTATATCTGTCTTATGACATTTTTAATGCAAATGTGTTTTTATCTTTTTAGATTGAAGGATTCAAGGATTCTGATCGATTCTAATGATTTCTACGAATCCAACAAGGCTACTCCTACAAGGATCGGGCTTATATTAAGCCAGATATAGTCATTTTAAGTTAAAATTGAAAATACATGTAAAAAACGACAAATTTGTTCATTTTAACAACAATAAATAAATAATTTTAAATTAAAAAATAAATTCCTCTTTTTATTTAATTCCAAAGGATATAGAATTGCAAAAAATTCAAAAATCAACGGTCGTTAAAAATCTGTCCGTTGGCGGCCGCTGGTTGCCGAGATTTTCCTAAAATTCAGCCAAAATACCAGGCGAACATAAATGACCAGAAAGTCGCCAACAAATTTAGCCGCAGAAAAATTTCATTGCATATCCGAAAGGGGCGCCCACGGCGCTGGCTGGGTCGCCAAATTTGTACTAAAATTTGACTGAAATACCAGGCGAACATAAATGCGTAGCAGGTAGACGAAAATCTTAGAATAAAAAATTTCATTGCATACCCACACGGGGCGGAAATGTAACTCACTTAAAATGAGTTATGTTAAGTAGCAGATCATGTTAAATGAGTGCTGTAAATACGGCTGTTTAGCAGAAGCTGCAGCTGCAGCTCTGTATAGGGGCTGCTGAAAAAAATAGCATACATGTTTTTGGACCATTTTGATGCAAATTTTGCAGGGATCTGCTTTTTTAGGTTCCCAAGGACTATATCAATGGTATGGTATAACCAAGGATATAATAGTCAACTAAGAACCAGTATGGGGCATGGCTGTTTCTGGGGGCGGCTAAAAGAAAAATCATACATATTTTTCGACCATATTCGTGTGTAGTTTGCTTGAATTCGGTCCTTTAGGTTCACCAGGACTATATCTATGGCATGGTATGACCAAGGATATGAATGTCAACTGGGAACCAACGAGGGGGAGTGGGGGGAGTACAGCGTAGTGTCACCTCCAAATGTTAGGCGAGCATAATCGGCAGTGGGTTTTGTCTTCCCTTTAACTCGACTCAAAATAAATGTGCAAAGGCAGCGCCAGGCAGAGTAGAATGGAATGATCTTGCTATCTCGCTTTGCCTGATACAAATGTATGTATGTATATACACATGTGCCAAATGGTACCTCGGCGATTTAACTGTGACTCTCCTTTTGTTTTGGTATTTATGCACATTCGCTTATCTATTTCGCTCGCTTGCGTTTTCGTGGTTGTTGTTGCACTAAAAATAACAAGAGAAAAGCTCCGAAATAGTGATGCCTGGACAGCGTCGATTTTACATGTAAAATTTGGCTGAAAAATATGAAATCCGCCATAACTTAGCTATGTATTTTAAATACATTGTATTAGTTCGGGTAAATTACTTCCGATTTTGGAAAGATATATACATATGTATTTCTGGACTCGTGAGAGTTCAGTTCAAATGCTCAATTCACAATTGACACAATTTTGTCTTATTTGATTAATATAAGAACTAATTTTTTTTGGTGACAATTAAAGGTCGTGATTAGCAAATATACATATATTTAGGTATTTATTTAGTTCCAGGATCGGCTTTTATTTATAACATAATAACTTAATCTATAGCTGTATTTCTTGAGTGTGACATAATATCTATAAGAATATACATTGGCTATAATTATGATGTTGGCAACCACCGCCAGATTTTAAAGTAGACTAAAGTTGCCACCTCTATTTACCAGGCGCACATAATTGCCAGCTGATGATTACTTCGATCTGCAAATGCCTTTTACTTTGACTAGGAAAGCGTGTACACGCAGATAAAGAGTAAAGCTGAACGACACGTGCAGCACGATAGAATGCCGTCTCTTTCGCGCGGCTAGTTATCTGCTTGCTTGCGTTAAGTATGTACAAATGTGCACAATGTCCGCTTGGTGGACAAAACTGTAATTATCCCTTTGTTATGGTACTTATGCACATCTCTCAATCTATTTCGCTCGCTTGTTGTTATTGTAATAAAATGGGTAGAAAAAAGTTGTCCACTAGGGACGGCAAATTTACATGAGCTTTAATCATACTCTGTCATAAGTCTAGCTTTTTTGTCAAGGGCGCAATCATATTAATTTGTTCAGTGATGAAAATGTTGGCTACCACTTTTAAAAATTGGTCATTTATAAGTAATGGAATATTTTATTTGCAATAAACGGACCTGATCAGGAGAAGTCGAATAAGGGTAATTTATCTAGGAAAAGTCTTAATTTATATAATATATAGCGTAAATATAGTTGCCCTTCTATACCTGTGATTAAATAGGAGTATATTTTAAATATCTTTATAAAATCGATCAATAAACTATAAATTCGGATTTTAATTTGAACAAAATCAAAACATTCTTGCGGCAAGTTTAAACTAAGTCTTTAATTATGACGATGGCAGGCGGCGAAACGCGTTCGAGTTAATGTAAAGACCATCTCTAAATACCAGGCGCACATAGGCGACGGCTGTTGATTGCTTTGATCTGCAACTCTTTACTTTGACTAAGAATGCGTGTGCACACGCAGAGCGTGAACCTGAGAGAGCTGTTTGCTTTGCCGCTCTGAGCACATGTGGTTGCACACGTGCACAGAGCAGCATTAAATGTCGTTGAGTCGAAGACAACGGCTTAATACATACATACTACATGCTGAAGAACTGTAATTACACCCTGCACACACTCAAAATGAGTAAGACAGGGTATGATGGTTTTGAGAACATTTACGAAACTGTTAAAATTCGCGAACGCATAAAAGTTTACATATTCTAGGTGTTTACAATGCAATGTGTTACTGATAAAAATATTTAGTCAAATACGAATTTTGTATTGAACCGATAAACCTCATAGACGTGCAAGTGGTAATGGGTATCCTATATAGACTTTGGCATGTTTGAATGCCTGTCCCATTGTTACTTTGGTTGACCTGAAGCACTCTGTGTTTTTATTTTTTCAGAGCTGTAGGGAGAGCAGGAAAGTTGCAGAGACTTTTTAAATACCTGTGCTGCCCATTTGATACTTTTGCTTAGCTCAACTACTCTACTATTTTCCTGCAGACTTGAAGGGAGAGCGAGGGGGGGGGGGTTGCCAGCTGTGGTCCGGGCCAAAAGCAAAGCTGATTTCTTCGTGGACAACATATCAATTGCGTGTTGTTCTGCGAATGAGGTCGTCGGTTTTGGACATGGCCAGCAGATGTTGTTTGCCTGGCTGCACAGACGTAGGTGAGCTGGCAGCGTATGATGAAGGATTAAAATCAGGCAGCACCCAGTGCTGCCCAAACTGTAATCTGCGATACGTGCCCAAGACGTTGGCTCATTTATTTAATATGCTCAAGTGCCCGCGCCCAAAGGCACGACGCGCTCAGCGAACGAGGCTCATGCAAGTTTTATTAAATCAATCAGTGGGCAAACGCGTCTAACGGCAACTGACAACTGGACGCGCGGACAGCTGGATAGCCGGACAGTTGGACAGGTGAAAAAGTGGACGTTGGCCACTCGCATAGCTTCGCCTTATGCGCCGGCTTGCATTTGTAATGCCAAAGCCGGATGGGGTATGCCGCCTGCTGCAAGACAAGAGACAAGGAACAAGGAACATGCCACTTGGCATAACTGTTGGCCAAATGCTGCTGCATTTCTCTTGCTGCATCCAAGCTTGGCCCGGCAGCTGCAGTATCGATAGTCAGCACATAGCTGACATTGTTTCCATTGAAGTTGGAGACAACAATGCCATTTTTATACATATACATATATTATAATCTATAATTATAGACTATCAACGGTTTTCCTTCAAAGTCATGCGAGTATAATCTAACGATTTAATCGCTATTTAGAAACTGATCGATATTTATCGATGTGTTTCACATACAGCAATAGTAAACGAAGTTATGTGGCGTGAAGAAAATAATTCGCTCTGGTTCGTTTGATGAAATAGTTGTATACATATTTATGAAAAAAATGTTTATCGATAAATTTGATCGATATTTGTAGTTATAAATTGTTAAGACCTAAGTATATATATTTTCTGAATTAATAGTCTTGTTTTAGTTAAAATATATATATAGTCGCCTGTTTGCTGAATGAATAGTCCAGCCCTAGCTTCAATTTTATGTGTTATCGATAACTGTCTATACAAAGCTATAGGTTATCGATATCCGTCAATGTAACTTATAATCTGGCATATACTATGTTTCTAAAAAACTAGACTTGGTTTCGCTTCGATAATTGTTGTTATCGATAACTTTATGCAATCGCTAGTTGGTTTATTCACCTGCTCATTTAACTGGGGCGAAGTGGGCAACGTCAGTGCAGCTCCTGCCACGCCTCCGCTAATGGGCGGACACGACTGTCGCTTGAAGTCGCGTCGTATGGCCAGCTCGTACCAGGGAATCAGCGGCTTGCTCCGCAGCGTTGTCTGGCAGCCGATCTTGAAGTCCAGGGGATCCATATACTCCGGCGCCATGCGATTCAAGTCGCTGACTGCCGCCTCCGCGGTGGCATATATGTTGCCAGCCGACTTGTGGTTGCCCTGTGGATGCCGCCAAGGGCCGTTCATGTCCAGCATGGAGCCACACGGCGGCACGTCCAGACTGCGATGCAGGCCAGCGCCCATGCTCTTGACCCGCATGTGGCCCAGCGTGTGGTAGCGCCGATCCACGGCGCTGGGCAGCATGGGCATGGCACTGGGCACAACCAGCAGCTCGTCCTGGTCGATGGTGGCCAGGCTCTGGCTGGTGTAGGAGCGCTCCAGCAGCTCGGTGCTGTTGCTGCGCTGCGTCACGATGGGCAGCTCGTACAGGTTCAGCCGCCTGGTGGTCGGCGGCCGCGTGGGCGTCGCATAGATCTTTGGCTTGGCATAGAGACTCTCGCGGCGCACGGGCGCCGGCGGCGGCAGACCCGTGGGCGAACGTGGTGGCGCCTCGGTCAGCGACAGGGACAGCGTCATGGGTCGCCGGCTGCCCGTCGAGCTGACGGAATTGTGGCGCAGCGTGGCGCGCCGGCTGTCGCGTTCCTGCATATCGAAGCTCAGCTTGGGCAGCGGCGAGTAGCAGACGCGCTCGGAGCTGTCGTAGGAGCTGCGCAGGCCGCTGTCCAGCCGCCGCTTGGGACTCGCCGGCGCGGTGTACAGAAATATGTGCTCCTCCTCGCCGGCGGTATTGTAGTCTGGCGTCTTGGGCGTGGCACTGC